GAGAAAAGCAGTTAGTTACCTACAAGGGAGTTCCTATACGACTGTCAGCTAGCTGATTTCTCAACAGAAAATTTGCAGGGCAGAAGGGATTAGCAAGAAATATTCAAAATGATGAAAAGGACGTACCTACAACCAAAATTACTTTACCCAGCAAAACTATCATTTAGGATCAAAGGACAGAAAAAAGAGGTTTCCAGACAAGAAAAAGCTAAAGGAGTTCATCATCACCAAACCAGTAGTATGTGAAATGTCAAAGGGTCTTCTTTATGAAGAAGAAGTAGATCAAAAATACAAACAAGTCTTGACCAGCATGGTTCAGTTGGTTGAGCATTGTCCTGCAAAGTGAAAGTTAGCCAGTGCAATTCCTGGTCAGGATACATGCCTGGGTTGTGGGCCTGGTCCCCAGTTGGGGTGCAGGTGGGAGGCGATCAATGTTTCTCTCACACATAATGTAACTCTCCCTCTTTTTCTCCTTCCCTTACTCTTTTTCTAAAAGTGAATAAATATAATAAAAAATTAAAAACTGAACAATAAAATGGAATAAATATATATTTTTATCAGTAATTGAATCTAAAAAAAAATAAATGAACAAGCAGAACAGAAACAGAATCATAGATACATCTGGCAACCACCAAAATGCTCTCCGTATGCATGATTCTGTCTCCGTTCTTGTTTGTTTTGTTTTTTATAGATTCAGTTGTTGACAGGTATGTATTTACTGTCATTTCATCGTTCACAGTTTTGATCTTTTCTTAAATAAGTCCCTTTAACATTTCATCTAATAATGGTTTGGTGATGATGAACTACTTTAGTTTTTGTTGTCTGGGAAGCTCTCTCTTTGCCCTTCGATTCTAATGATAGCTTTGCTGGGTGGAGCAGTCTTGGCTGTAGATCTCTGCTTTCCATGACTTTGAATATTTCTTGCTAATCTCTTCTAACCTGCAAAGTTTCTTTTGGGAAATCAGCTGACAGTCTTATGGGAACTCCCCTGTATGTAACTAACTGCTTTTCTCTTGCTGCTTTTAAGAGTCTTTCTTTATCTTAAACCTTTGGCATTTTAATTATAAAATGGAGTGGGCTTCTTTGCATCCATCTTTTTTGGGACTCTGTATTTTCTGGACTTGCATATCTATTTCCTTCACTAAATTAAGGAAACTTTCATTATTTTTCAAATAGATTTCCAACTTCTTGCTCTTTCTCGCCTCCTTTTGGCACCCTTATGATGCGAATGTTGGAATACTTGAAGTTTTTCTAGAGACTGCTTACACAATCCTCTTTTTTTGGGATTCTTTTTTCTTCTTGTTCTGATTGGTTGTTTTTTGCTTCTTTATGTTCCTTATCATTGATTTCTCAGCTTCATCCACTCTACTATTGTTTCCCTGTAGACCGTTTTTTATTTCAATTAGTGTATTCTTCATTTCTGACTGGATGTCTTTTATTCTATTGAGGTCCTCACTAAGCTTCTTGAGAATCCTTATAACCAGTGTTTTGAACTCTGCATCTGATAGATTACTTATCTCCATTTTGTTTAGTTCTTTTTCTGGAGTTTTGTTCTGTTCTTTTATTTGGGACATGCTTTTTTTGTCTCCTCATTTTGGCAGCCTTCTTGTGTTTGTTTCTATGTATTAGGTAGAGTTGCTATGACTCCATGTCTTGGTAGTGTGGCCTGATGTAGTAGGTGTCCTGTAGGGTCCAGTGGCACAGTCTCCCTTGTCATTTAAGTTGGATACTTGAGGACTGCCCTTCGTGTGGGCTAAGTACACCCTCTTCTTGTAGTTGAACTTTGGTTGCTTTTGGCACATCAATGACAGGGATTTGCCCAGGCCCCTCTGTTGAAAGGATTGGCTGTGACCACTGACCATTAATATCTGTACTCTGTGGAGGATCAGCTGTCAGGAGCAGGGTGGTGGTGCTTCAACATGGTCTGTAGCTGTCCACAGGGTATGCTGGCCCTGAGGCTTTCCTAGTCATGCTGGTCAAGGTCAGCCCCACCTGTGTTTTGCCTGGGGCCACCCTGCATGAACTGTAAAGCAATCTGAGATGGCTGCTACTTGTGGGGAGTTTGGAGATTGCCAGGTGAAGCCAAGCTGTGAATCTAGGCTGGTTGCTGCTAGTGCTGGGCCTGGGGCTCACTGAGGCCAGCTGTTGTTCTTTTGAGGAGATTTAGGAAGTTGTGCAGTATGAGCTGAGACCAGCCATTCATATGGAAAAGGAGCTTGGCTGGGCCCATAAGTTGGGTGTCACGGAGTCTCTGGGGATCTGCAAGGCAGGTCAAATAGTGTTAGTGAGGTTGATGGACTCTCAGATATGGCACCAGCCTGCTGGCTTTGTGGTTCTGTCAGGGGAGGGCTCAGAAAAGGGACAATGGCCTCTGCTGATCCCAATGCCAGACACTTCAACCTTTCCCAGTATGCCACTGGTGACCTTTAAGCTTCCACCCCAATGCTGGAGTTTAGAGTGAGTGAGTCTGAGTAGGTCAGTCTATGTGTGGGTTCTTTAGGAGGAACTGCTTGGGGCTTCAGGAGTTTCTTCCACCAACTCAATCTCTGCTGGTTTCAGCATCCAGAAGTTGTGGGGACTTATCATCCTGGCACTGGAACCCTGGGCTTGGGGGTCTGGTGTGGGGCTGGGACTCCTTGCTCCTGAGATATTCCTCCCAAATTTTTATCCACCACATGTGGGTGTGATGTCAACCTGTTCCGCGTCTGCACCCCTCCTACTAGTCTGGATTGATTCAGTTTCTTTAATTCTGTAGTTGTTAGACTTCCATTCAACTCAATTTCTAACAGTTCTGAGTGATGGTTGTTCTATTTTAATTGTAATTTTGATGTGGTTGTGCGAAGAGGAGAGTCATGTCTGCCTACGCTGCCATCTTGACCAGAAGTTCAGGTCAGTGATTCTTTGTCATATCCATTTTGCTGTTGAGCCTGTCCAGCCAGTTTTATAATTTTCAGTTCTAAAACTCAATTCTATAATTGGCTACTGTTCTTTTAGTTCTAAAATTTTTACTTGATTCTTCTTTATATCTCCTATTTCTTTGCCAAGACTTATTTTTCATTTGTTTCAAGTATGTTTATAATTTATTAAAACATTTTTATAACGTCTTTTAAAAAATATCACTCAGAAAATCCTCAAATTTGTATCATTTCAATGTTAATATATATCGATTGTGTCTTTTCTCATTCAAATTGAGATTTTTCCTGGTTATTGGAATGATGAATGAATTTTGATTGTGTTGGGAGACTATCTTTTTAAAATCTTCAACTGCAGCAGGCCTTTGATAATACTGCACCTGTTAGGTATGTGTCTGAGGTATTATTTCCTTACCACTGGGAATAGGTGTTAAGTCTAATATTCCCATTAATTTTTTTAATGATGTTTGGCTAAAGTAGGATGGATATTGTCCTCTTTCTTGATCCTTGTGTAAAGAAAGCAGATTTTCTTGGGACTATTTCTTGTCTGCACCTGTTGGCATTTTTTGGTTTCAGACTTTCTGGTGCCAAATCTGGGATATATAGAGGGATAAAGAAAACATAGGGAACTTTCCATCGTGTCAATTTGCAAGTTCTCAAGACTCTATGTAGTCTGCATTATTCTTTCCACCTTTTTGACTCTTCTTATGTTTGTTTTAAACATTAAGTCCAGATATTTTAGTTATAGTTAGTGGGAATAATAGGGAAAAATACATCTATTACATCCTAACAGGACTAAAAGTTCTCCTTTCATTAAACACACACACACACACACACACACACACACACACACACTATGCCGTGGTTGGACTATTGGATCTTTAAAGCTCACACCTGGTTTGCTCTCCATAAGTTACCGTTGTAAAATGATGAAGGTGGTAGTGACTGTAAATGGAAGAACTTGGGAGAGATAATTTGTATTTCTATCTCACTTCTGTCTACCCAAGTATGACTGGGTAGAAAGAATGCTTTTTTGTTTGTTCTTTTGTTTTTGATTTAGTAGGTATTTTGCATTGAGTAAATCAATACATTGACATTTACTTAGGGCAAGTAGAATCAGGAAATGAAATAGTGCCTAGAAAGTTCCTGACCTAGCTGATGTTCTACATCTCTTCTATGTTCCACATCATGTAGTAGAGTAACTGTAACTTCTTTCTTACTAGGTGGAAAGTTTCCTGTGTTTCCCCATGCCCTCTCTGGTACTGGTGCTTAACGTTTCATACACTTATTTTCCTAAGTTGGGTGAAATTCCTTCAATAGCGCAGGAAACAGCTTCTCTACCGCTTGTCCCTACAGGTGCCTAGTAAAAGTCTTACACACTGTAGAGGCTGATAGATATCTGACACAATTATTCCTTCTGTCAGTCTGGGTACCATAAACTTGGTGTCCCTAAGGTATGGCCACCATGTTTTCAGGCTTTGCAGAGTAGGCCCTGGACTATGAGAGACAGAGAATCTGCCCAGGGAGCCCTGTCTTGAAAAACCATTGAGCTTGATGAGAAGACCCATGGTGGCTACTCAATGCAATGCGTCTGTTTATTGAAATTCCTTTCCAGGATCTTTGTGTTTTGGGAGCATTTTGGCACCTTAAGGCCAACATCAGAGTTCACATCTTTGATTACCAGGCATTCTTCCCACCCCCGTGACTCCCATCTACCCATCTACCCTCCCCGTGCCAAGAGAATGTATTTGTTGAATGAATGTACCTATGGGTGAGTGAATCGACAAAAAGAGAGAACAAAAATGGAATGAATGAAGTTGAAAGCTACAAAGACTGCTGGACACCCAGAAATTCTCATGATTTGCAAGTTTATTGGCTGAGGAGGCAACGGAGTTGGGAGGTAGTTGTACAGAAACCAAGCAGGAGAAACTGCAGAACAAGATGCAGCATGAATGCTCAATGACTTATTCCAGGTGGGTTAAAACGTGAAGAATTTGGAAACCTCAAGGCAATATCGTGAGAGCTAAGCCCATCGGCGCCCACAGAAAACAGCTCCAGCTCCTTCGCCTCCGTCGCGCCCAGGAGGCCTTATTTGCATGGCCAGGTAGGCGCCTGCTTCTGCTGGGTCTGGTGGCAGATCGGGACGCCCCCAGAGGAGCCGCCGCCGCCCCCTGAAGAGCCGCCTCCGCAACCCGAGCTGCCTCCAGAGGAGCAGCCGCCGCCGCCCCCAGAGGAGCCGCCTCCACAACCCGAGCTGCCGCCGGAGGAGCAGCCGCCGCCGCCGCCGCCGGACGACCCTCCTCCGTAGCACTGCTGGGGCGCGCACACGGTCTGGGTGGTCTGCTGGGAAGAAAAGCCGGAGCCGCCGCCAGAGGAACCCCCGCCGCAGCCGCCGCCGCCGCCGCCGCCGCCGCCAGAGTAACCGCCACCCCCACAGCTGGAGCCGCCTGAGGAGCCGCCTCCACAGCCGGAGCCGCCCCCGGAGGAGCCGCCGCCCCCGCAGCCACCGCTAGAGACACCGCCGTAGCTCTGGCACGTAACTTGCTGGCCAGAGCCGCCGCCGCCGCCGGAGTAGCCACCGCAGCTGGCGCCGCCGCCGGACGAGCCCCCTCCGCAGCCGGAGCCTCCACCGCCGCCGGAGTAACCGCCGCCGCAGCCAGAGCCGCCGCCGCCGCCGCCGCCGCCGCCAACGGACTTAACGATTCCGCCGGAACCACCTCCGCAGCCTCCAGAGCCGCCACCGCAGCCTGACGAGCCTCCCCCGCAGCCGGAGCCTCCACCGCCGCCGGAGTAACCACCGCCGCAGCCAGAGCCGCCGCCGCCGCCGCCGCCGCCAACGGACTTAACGATTCCGCCGGAACCACCTCCGCAGCCTCCAGAGCCGCCACCGCCGCCTGACGAGCCTCCGCCGCAGCCGTAGTCTCCACCTCCGCCACAGCCGGAGCTGCCGCCTCCGCCGCCAACGGACTTGACGATTCCACCGGAACCACCTCCACAGCCTCCAGAGCCGCCGCCGCCGGACGATCCCCCGCCACAGCCGGAGCCGCCTCCGCTGGAGAAGCCCCCGCCGCAGCCGGAGCCGCCGCCGCCGCCGCCGGAGTACTTGACACTCCCTCCGGAACCGCCACCATAGCAGCCGCCGCCGCCGCCGCCGCCGCCGCCGCAGCCGCCACCGGAGCCGCCGCCGCCGCCGCCGCTACAGAGGCCACCGCCGCCGCCGCCGCCGCCGCCGCCGCTACAGAGGCCGCCGCCGCCGCCGCCGCCGCCGCCGCCGGAGGTTTTCCCGCAGAACACTGGGGGCTGAGGGGTGGGCTGTTTTTTCTGGTAAGACATCTTGTCTGAGGAGGAAGGGAACTGTGGAAGAAGAGCAGAGAGCGCATCACTGGACCAGTGACAAGAGGATTTAGGGAAGAAGGCAGCTGTAGCCATGACAACCCATCATCCCAAGTAGCTCTGCCTGGTCAGGCTCTACACTCTCTCCCATTTCAGTTCTCAGAGAGCTTTCAGCTGGAATTTCTAGGATAGGTGCTGTTAGAAAAGAAGTGCCTCCTGTCTTTACATAGCCCAGTAAGTGGTGCCCATTTCTTTCTCTGTCTCTCTCCCAGCCCTGCCTGTGGCCTTTTGTGTGATTTTGAGTTCTCACCGTTCAGGAGAGGTTGGATCACTTCATCTCTAAGCTCTCTTCCAACCCCAGCAGTGATTCTTTTGAGTACAAATAGAAGATTACCACAAACCTTTACCTAGGTTGGGGGATTTTACTCATCTGCACAACACAAGGTTTGTCAGAAGGCCAGAGAGCTTGTTGTACCATATTCTCTACAGAAACTCTTAATTCAAGCTCTTGGTCTGTCCCACTAAGCTTGACTGTGATCTGGGGCCAGTTATTAGAAAAAGGCTCCACTTTGTTCCTGTCTGGATTCCATTGGTCTTTTGGATTACCATCTCTCATTAGATGACATTAGCCACCGCCCTTAACAGTTGTTAAGTCCAAGTTTGGTCGAGGGGACCGTGACTAGTAGGAAATTGTGTCCCTTCTCATTTTCCTCTCAGAACATCTCCCTTTGTAAAATAGGTGTTGGGGTTCTCGGGGCTCCTAACATCTCTCCCTTCTATAGAATTCTGGGACTGTTCTCCCTACTATTCTGTAGGAATAGATTTAACCTCTCCTGTCAAGTTCATGAGATCTTTCCAGCCCAGTCACAGGCCTTCTGGGACAGTCTCTGTAGAGTGCCCCCCCCCAATATCCCTCACCAGGCCTGCCTCTACAGGGGTACCAGAGAGAGAGGAGATAGTCTTGCTTTGTGAAGTTTACATTCTGGCCAGAAGACCAAACACCATCTGCACAACAGCAGTTCAGTCCCCATTTCTTTCCTGCCAGAATCCCCTCTAAACATGAATGCAGTTGGGAAGGCGGAGACCCAGTAGTTCCCACAGCAGAGAAATACCTTGCCTCTCTGCACCCTGCTCCACCTAGCCTATGCAGGCCTGTGCTAGTCAACCTGAAAAGACCAGGGCCAGTAGAACCCACACTTACCCGAAGGAAGGATGAGTGAGGAGAGGGAGATGCTGGCTGTGTGAAGAACACTGGAGCTTCTGAGGTTTTATACTGTTTAGTCATGACTCATCTATTGATCCGGGTCAGCCTCCTATTACGTGACCCATGTTGTCACCTCACCTCCCTGTGATTGCAAGCATTCATGAAGATTTTGGCATTCTTGAGATGGGCAGCCTAGTGTGTGACTGGCCCCTTCTCTTATGCAACTGTGTGGCAGGCTGGGCAGGGGGATGGTCAGCCAGAATGGCTGGCTGGCATTGTTTTCAAAACCTGTGGTATGGGGTACATGCCATAACCAGAGGGCCATGCCTGAGGAATATGTCCCCAACTTTTGAAGTGGCCTAAGAGAGTCACACTGAAGATTTCAGTCCTTGGTCAAAGGAGCAGAGCCTTTCAAATTCCACAGTTCAGATTCTGACCCCATTGCTAGGAAACTCTTTTAACTTTAAAAAGAATTTGCTCCTGTTTTGACAAAAGTTTATCCCCCAGGGTCCCATGTGCTTTGCTGGGATGTTTCTGTCTTGTCCAGTAAGTTTGCCCATGGCACCCACTTCTGGGCTGTAAACCATGGCTACTACTGTAACTAATGGGACACTGGTGACTGCTTTGATTTGTTCTTGGAGACAGCAGTCGTCTGCGGAAAGTGATCATTGATACTGAGTTTTCTTGCAGAGGAGCAAGCGAGAGATCAACCATGTGGTCCTTGTCATTGTAGCCCTTTGGCTTTGCTGTCCTGTGGTCTTTTGTGGCAACAGTGACTTCAGCATAGTAGTCAGCCAGGGAATGGAAGGGACTTGAGGTTAGCTGTCTGAGTTTGGGCTCTCCCTTTGCTACTTGCCAGCTGTGTCACTTTGGGCAAAGTCACAGCACCTTCCTTGGCACCTGCACATGGGATACTCTGAGTAAGTATTTGCTGATTTGAATGAAGAAGCTCAGTTACCTTGTTTATCAAATAGGAATAGTAATACCTGTTTCATGGGCCTGTCAAGAGGGAATAGTTTTATGTGAAGTGTAGAAGGGGAAACTGTTCTTTTTATTGTTTTCTCATAATAATCCATTCTTGCCTCTAACTTGGACTACCCTTAGACACCAAGGTCAGGAGGGGGTCCATGGATGACTTGAAGCAAGCTCTTCTTTAGGAAAACAACTCACAACTTCCCTGTTCACCCTGGGCCAGTAACATCACCTCTGTGTATGAAGAACAGCATGCTCCTCCTTCTTTCATCACTTGTATTAAACAGATTGCTATTGTTTAAGATACCACATTTGAACTTTGTTCCACCCAGCTATATGTTGTAATGATAGTTCCAGTGATAAATTGATGGTTAATTATGGTGGAGTTTTAATGATCCGAATGATCCTGATTAGGCTGTGACCTTTGGAAACTTGTGGCACTAGTTTTAGTTTGGACAGCATGAACTCAGGTGAACACAGGTACTCCTTCCTTAAAGAACAGCCAGTAAGGAGATGATGGGATCTGTTGGAGAAGGCAGGTTTCTCATTTTGAAGCTAAAGCACATGGAAATTTTGGAGAGAAACAGCTGCCAACTAGATGATTGTCATGGGTACAAAAAAAATTTTTTTTTAGTTGGGCTGTACTGGAGAAGGAGCTCTTGTGGACCATGTTCCAGCACTATCTGTAGGCCCATGTTAGTCCCCTCTGTGTGTTCTTTAGTTCTTAGGAAAATGTAAGTAAAAGTGTATTAGCACTGTGTTCTTGAGAATGAAAATCTTTCATTCTGAAATCATGGACTTTCTACTTTTCTTGCTGTTAAAATATCATTTCTTTTAAAAGTGATGGTGACAGGAAATTTTAATTGTTTCTTTCATGACTTTGTCAAAATGAAAATTTTTGGCTATTATATACTAGTTACTAAATATATATATATTTTGAAGGTGATGTTTTTTTTTTATGAAATTATAAAGTTTGGGCACTGCAAGTGCTGTGACCTCAAAGAGCTAATAATCAAATTGCCGATATTAGTTTGGAGGGTTTATGCTCTAAGAAAGAAAGGATGTTTTTTTTTTTTTTTTCCTATCAGATTGAATAGCCCAGTGCTTTTTTTTTCTCACTAATCTAACCAACACAAGTGTACTGGGCACTGTGCTAAGCATTAATTAAGAGGCCAAAGCCTTTCCAAGCTGTGCACAGATCTCCTCGGTAGAAATGGGGAAGGTAGATTTGTCTGCCTCTGCCATCATATATAGTATTTCATTAGGAAACCCTTCTAACTAGTACATCTACTTTGCTAACACATAGAAGAGGCTGAAGCAACATAATGCTGAGAGCAATGCCAGATGCTGTGGTTCTCAGCCTGAGTTAACCTGGCCTGAGGTGTGACTGTGTGAATCTGGTTCCCCAATTTATTCTTCTAGATCAGCAATATTCTCAAAGGGATATCTATATGGACAACCATTGATTATCTCAATTTAGCATATCAGTGAGGAAATAATGGAAGTTTGTAGAATTAGTACCCTTAGGTATTTGGAGTTTTGTTAAGACTTGGCATGTCAGACTTTTAATATTTATAGCTTTTAGACATTTAACCCTGACTGTGTGCTTGCTGGCATGTCTAGGATCTGCAGCTTGACAGATTAGGACATGGTTCCTGCCTCTACATGTATCCTTAGAGGGGACAGCCTGTAAAGCAAATGTTTCGCAGTGTCCAGAGTGGTGCGAGGCATTGACAGGTGTTCTGTAAATCCTGGTGGAATTGAAAGGGATCACTGAGACCCATTGACTAACAACAGCCCTGCTGTGAGGGAGATATGGTCCCTGTGCCCTGGCAATCCCCAGTCTGAGGGGGAGATTACAGCTTTTGGGCTTGGGGGACCCCTAATGTGAGAGAAGACTGCTCATCACAATCTTCGAGTACTTAAAGCTATAAATGAATTATCACGACTACGTGCTGACAACATTCCTGACTGAGGGAAAAAGGGCAACAGGTGGTTTTTAAAGAATAAATTGGACACAGGGTAGGGGATTGGGAGTGCTGGCAGGGCAGGCATCAAGCTTGGAAGCCCTTAGAGTGGTTTATTTGAAGGGGAACCAGAAGGTGTCTCAGAGCCTTGGCACCCTGGCGGCTGGAATTTTCCCCCTCTCTTCAGCCTCCTGTGTCAGCAGTTTGAAGAGGTAGTTGACTCTGGTTGCTAAGTGGGGAAAACAGCTGAGAGGTCTGGGAGAAGTCCAGCTCTGTAGTGGCTCACAGCTCAGTCCTTTTCTAGGAAGCTTCCTGAGGTTCACCCCACTCATGGTTCCATCTCTGGTGACTTTACCTCACCAAGGCTTTAAGGAACACTTGCACTAATTACAGCCTGGTAATGACACATCTATCAGCCTTGTCTCCTTCAAGTTATAAATTTTTTTTGTGGCAGTTACGTGTAAATTTATTTATTTCCTCATTTTTTTAAATTGTTATTGTATTAGAGTTGTCCCAATTTTTCTTCCTCTGCTTTCCTACACCCAGCCCAATCCCCATACTGTTGTCCATGGCCATGGGTCATTCAGACATGTTCTTTGACTAGTTCCTTCCCCTTCTTTTCACCATTATCCCCCTCCCCCAGCCCCTCTGGCCACTGTCAGCTTGTTCCATGTTTCTATGTGTTTGGTTCTATTTTGCTCTTTAGTTAATTTTGTTCATTAGATTGTTCTTATAAGTGAGATCATGTGGTATTTGTCTTTCATTGACTGGCTTATTTCACTTAGCCTAATATTTTCTAATTCCATCTACGCTGTCGCAAAAGATAGGAGTTTCTTCTTTCTTTCTGCTGTGTAATA